CATGGTATTCCACTATTAGCTCCAATACTGTCACACATAATAGTTTTCTAAGGAAAGTCTGGAATTTAAAGATTATAGGGGTCTTTTTCACTGGAGATATCAATGTAGCTTTATGTGCAGTATCTTACTGTTTTTGATTAGTGCCCTATCCTTTTTAGTAAGTGATCAGAAATGGAAGCTGACAGATGATTTCAGGTCCTATGAACATACGTATATGTGAATTTTCCCTCTCCTAAAGGTTTTTTAAGAAAGATTAGGAGGTAACAGCTGTATTTCCTGAAGTAACATGGCTATTGCTAGAGCTTTTCTTTTGCATCTGCCAGGGACTATATCCAGGAAAAGCATTGAAAGGTATTTTTTAAGCTAGGGTTAGTGTGCCTTAGAAGAAGAGCTGTAAAGTGATTGAGAAAGTGGTTGGTAGTGTACATGGCCATACGTGTTGCATTTGGGCCGAGGGGTAAAACCTACTTTTCAGTTTCCTTGGGTATCAGTATTAAAAAAAATCTTGCTTAGTTTAGATGGAAATAAAGTAAACAATTCTGTTGTACCCCTCCCCAAACCAGTCCTTTAGGAGATGTAGTTAATCCAGAGGAGGGTTAGAGCATGGTGCAGAAAGGACTTGATTACCCTGAAGTAATATATGCAGTGTGAAATTAAGGTGTGGTTTTTAAAAGACATGGTGATGAACCTGAACCCGAAAACCAAGTTTCTACTGTAACTTGAGAGCTGCTCTGCTGGAAGCAGTTGAGGACAGCATGGAAGGATTCAGCGTTTGGAGGATAATGCTAAGCTACTAGCATGATTCTCAGGTGAATGTGTTGAAATATATTTTGGTGATTGATCCTGGCTGGACACCAGGTGCCAAAGCTGCTCTATTATTCCCCTCTGCAAAAGGACAGGGAAGAGAAAATATAACAAAAGGTTCTTGGGTTGAGATAAGGACAGGGAGAGATCATTCAGCAATTTTCATCATGGCCAAAACAGACTCAGCTTGGGGGAATTTATTACCGATCAAATCGGAGTAGGACAATGAGAAAGAAACCAAATCTTAAAACACCTTTTCCCCAGCCCTCCAGATCCCTCCTCACTCCCAGAGTTTCTACTTCCTTACCCCCAACAATGCAGGGGGATGGGGAATGGGGGTTGTGATCGGTTCATCACACATTGTCTCTGCTGCTCCTTCCTCTTCACAAAAGATTCCTCATGCTCTTCCCCTGCTCCAGTGTGGAGCATCTCCCATGGGAGACAGTTCTCCATTAACTTCTCCAATGTGGGTCCTTCCCATAGTCTCCAGCGTGGGTCCCTTCCATGGGGTGCAGTCCTTCAGGAGCAGGCTGCTCCACCATGGGTCCCATGTGGAGTCACAGGTCCTGCAGGAAACCTGCTCCAGCATGGGCTCTTTTCTCCATGGGGCCATGGGTCCTGCCAGGAGCCTGCTCCAGAGCAGGCTTCTTGTGGGGTCACAGTGTCCTTTGGGCATCCCCCCTCATACGGTGTGGGGTCGTCTGTGGGCTGCAGGTGGGTATCTACTCCACTGATAACCTCCATGTGCTGATGGGCACAGCCTGCCTCACCAGTGAGGCTGCTTCTGTGTCTGGAGCACCTTTTCCCCTCCTCCTGCACTGACCTGGGTGTCTTCAGGCTTGTTCCTCTCACATTTCTCATTCCTCTCTCCTGCTGCAGTTATGCTCTTTCCCCCTCACTTCTTAACTATGTTATCGCAGAGGTGCTACCACTGTCTCTGATGGGCTCAGCCTTAGCCAGTGGGGGGTCTGTCTTGGAGCTGACTGGCATTGGCTCCTTCGGACACGGAAAGTTTCTGGCAGCTTCTTGCAGAAGCCACCCCTGTAGCCCCCTTCTAACAAAACCTGCCATGCAAACCCAATGCAGTTTTCAGTACAGAAAGAAAGGCTTAGTGCCGTTACATATAGCCATAAGACCATACCTGGAGTATTGCATTCATGTTTGAGAAACATGAACTTACGGCAGAACAAGTACGAACAAGGGCTGTATGTTTTCTGCAGTACAACAATATCCTGAAACAAAGAGCATTATGAGGAGTAAGAACCCAGGATATCAGTGTGACATGACAGTGGAGCTTATGCTTTGGCTGTCATGGGCAACACATTCCTTTTCCCCAACTTAACTGAGTTCCACTCTAAAAATAGTTAGGATGCTGGCTTTTGCTGTTCCCTTTTGAAAGCTCTTCAGAATGCATGGTTAGAAACACTTCAGGATCGTGAGTTGAGATTGAAGGGATATTTCTGAGTTTGATTATTGTCTTGTTTTGGTTGTTATGAAAGAATTTTAATTTATGAATTACCTTTTATTAAGATCCTAAAACTTTCACTGATTAGAATTTACTTTTTGCTGATAACTTTAAAATTATGCAAATTTTCAGCAATAAACTTAATGAAATATTTACAAAACTATTCTCAATTCTGACAGAAGTAGAGGGATAATTACATCAAGATATATAGTTACCTGTTATTGCTGAGTTGTGAAGTAGCTATCATCTAAAACTAGAAATACAACATTTGACAGTTCATGTTACTGGGCAGCTTTCATTGGCTGTGACCTCAAAATATCTCAGTTATCTCTCTGGTACCTTGTAAGTATGGATCCACATTTTCATTGTAACTTTGTTATCACAGATAGAATAAAGGTCATCTATTTTATTTGAAGATACAAACAAGATTGTTGTAATTTTTATTCTTGTTTTAAACATAGTTAAACTAATTTTTGGTTTAATTTTATCTTTATTTGGGTCTGGCAGATTTGTAAAGGGTTTTACTGACCTGTATATATGATACCTGATTTTCAAAAGTGGATGCCTAAAATTAGATGTCTCTCTCTGTAGCCTTGGTCTAGTTTTCAGAGGAACTGGAAACTTAGAGAAGGACTGTCTTTCAGCAGTGGCATTGTGTTTTCTGATGCTGACAGGACAATCTGTGTCAGAGTACTCTGAAAATCCAAGGCTATTCTCAGTTTATTTTGCTCTTCCTGCTTAAAAAATATATCAGCGTATTTTTTTAATTAAATATTAATTATTTTTTAATAGATTTTAAAAAAATAATTCTTTATCAAAACCTTTTTGAAGCATCCTCTGGAAAGTTGGAGTGGTATACCCTATTCAGATTCAGTGGTTGAATTCGGAGATCTAGTTATGAAATCTAATTTTCAGCATCTGTATTTTGGGTATCACTGCTGTGTGTTGCCTGAACAGAGACTGAGCTCTATTTCCCCTTGCAGACCTGTGGCTCTGTGATACTCTGGGAGATTTCTGTAAGGCAGTTGTAGGTACTCAAATGCCACACTCAAAACATTTGGCTGCACTTTGGTGTTGTTTTTTTTTTTTTTTTTTTTTAGCTAGAATGTCTGTCTACACAAAAGAAATAACTCTCCTAATTTATTTTTATTAGTATTCCTTTAAAAGTATGTATTGATTGAACAATTTGTTTCCCCCCTTCTGATTCTGCTGGCCTGGATGCAATACGCTTATTTAGATATAAATTTTCAAAGGCTATCATTGCTACCTTTGCTTTTGTTTTTCCCTTTCACTTAGGGTAGATTTTCAGACTTTAAGACAGTGAGTTCTTAAAGGCAACAAATCTTTAAATGACTGACTAAAGAAATAGATCAGAGGCTTCCCAGTGAAGTATTTGCAGTTTCAGATCACGAATGAGATAAAGCTCAGATGGAAGTAGAACATGTTTAAGGTGCTGATATTATCAATTGCAGATCCAGGCAGGGCCAATTGAAATAAAAGAAAACCCCAAACCTATACAGGTAATATGGCAAACTCATTTAATAGTAAAATCTGCTACAACAGTTTTACCTAATTTAGTTGGTTAACTGCTGTGTGTTGATACTTATTGGGTGGTTACTAGTATTGTGCATACGCAAAAGAGTTTTGACAGTTTGGGCTAATTCAGGTGGCTTTGCAGCCTCTGACATAGAGGTGATCTGTTTTCTGCAAGCTAACAGCAGAATATGCTGCTGTACATAGAGAACTCTTCTCTATGGCTGCTCGGGTACTTGCGGAGCTCAAGGGCCACAGCATCATGGGATGGGATGCTTTGTTCTTGTTTCATTTCTGACTCATGTTTTTAATAGGTATCAGCAAACAGGATTGAGGAAGCAGTGTTGGGTGCCTCATTCAGATGCACATAAATATTTTGCTTCCCTTTTCCCCTGTTCCTCCCCCCCCCCTTTTTTTTCCCACAAAGGCTCGGAGGGTTAAACCTGTCTTCTTATTTTACTTCTTTCCCCTGAGACTTCCAGCGTATTTGTAGGTGTTTGGAATTGTAGTGCTAACTCTTAGAAACAACTGGATGCAAGTCATGCTGGGTTTACGGCACATCTGACCTAAATAAGCCACCTGTCTTATGAGGAGGGAAATTGTGCCCTTGGCTTCTGACTGTGAAGGAAACATTGTGTTTTACTAGCCTTCACTTGAGCATCCACTGTAGGCAGATAAGTCTGTCGTGTGTGGTGCTGGGAATTTGTTTCAAGACATGATGGAAATAATAAACATAACTGCTTTTTGTTTTCCATGTATGCTAATAGCTTACTCCAAAATAGATCTTCAAGAACCCATTGTATAAAATATGATTACCCTTATGTGTGAAGGGGGTACAAATCATGATAACTTTTACAACACAAGTGGATTTAAACTTCAAAAAAGAACCCAACCCAGCCCTTTCCCAATCACACTGTAAATGAGGCTTTTTTTTTTTTCTTAATTTTAGGGTAAAATTTGGTGGCCGTATGGTTGATCCCATACCTGTTACTCTAATTGAACTGTTCTTGTGGGTTTAACTTTCTGTTAGTAAGATATAAAACATAATGATGTTGACATTTGCATAGAATACACTTTTGTTGATCTGAATTTAATTTTAAATTGCCAATACTTGATTTTCTGTTTATTCTTATTATAATGCAGGCATTTTTTTACAACCTAATAAATGCAATATTTGTTTTATTTGTTTTTTCCCTAGATCTGTTTTCTCCTATTTGCTGTTCTCTACATAGTTTCCTACTTCATAATCACAAGATACAAAAGGAAAGCAGGTAAGTACAGACTTTTTAATATATTACAAAATAATCTTGTCTTTCAAGTGAATAGTTGATCCTTTTTCTTTTGGACTCCCGAAGGAAAGCGGAAGAACTAGTTCTCTGACCAAAAGTGTTTCTTGGGCTGCCAGACTGATCTAATTGTATATGCTGCTCTCTTGCCTTCTGTCTGCTCCCTTTTTCCCTGAGCCACAAGTTCCCAACACCTCCTTTGTGCCTTCTCTGGCACTGCCCACTTCTACTAGGATCTTCCTGAGTTAACACGTCTGGATCTCTTTCAGGACAAATTGTTGTTTCTACAACAGGCTCTTTAGCCAGAATGATTCGTAAGAGACCTTGGCTTAGTCTCAAAACAGCATGCGATTCCTGTAAAACCCCATGACAATAACCCAATGTACTTCACGGGAGAATTTCAAAATAGTGTGATGTTAATGGCTACATATTTATTTCAGTTGTGTGCATGACTCTTAAGAGCTTGAAATGCCTGGCTTTATTTACTCTTAGATTTTAAAATACATTGGAGTTACCACTCATGGAAAACCTGGGAGACATAAAAGATTACTCCCAAATGACTTCAAATGTACAAATGCATACGTTTGTGTACAGATGTATCTAGAGAAGGGTATAAAGGGTAAATGAAGGCTAAATTATTGATTGACCTCAGAGTTAAATGTTGATGTTGATTTCAAAAAATTGAAATAATAATTGAGGACTAAGTGAACAAAAATAAACTAAAATGTGAAATACCAGAAGGGAAGCCATGGTGTTTTAAATCCAAACCAGCTCTCCTTCCCCCACCACGAAATCCCTAGGAATTGGGTTGAATAAAGGGAAGCAACCAAGGGGTCATCACTACTGTTCTAGGTATGCTTTCTAGTTTTTAAAACTGTCTTGATACTGGAAATGAAACTTCTCTTTAGGCGTTTGTAGTGGTTAGTTGGACCTTAGAACTCTCCTGCAGTAGCTTGCTTGCTCTCTGTGGTTTCAGAGATGTCCAAAGGGACATTCTGTAGCAGCAGCCATCGTTGTAGTAGCCTGTGAAAGGTTGTTTGCTGCAGAGCCTTCTGGAAGATGTTTCCAGGAAGTTTTGATCTGCTTATTTAAATAAAGTGAGATAACTTCATAGTTACATTGATTTGAAAGGCGCTTCAGACAAGCAAAAAAGAAAAAGAAAAGAATATTCTCTTTTGTTATGAACATTTACAAAATGTTGATGCTGATAAATTCTTTTAGTAATTCTAAACTTTAATTGCAAATTAAAACTGTGCCCATGTATATATATTTTAGCTTGAGGAAAGATGACTAAGAAGTATTGAATATAACCTGCTGTCATTTAACTTTCAGATGAGCAAGAGGATGAAGATGCCATCGTTAACAGAATATCGTATGTATAGCTCTTTATAGCAGATTTTTGCCTCTATATATATTGTTATATATAGGAATCTTTTATTCTTGCAAATAAGTAACAGTATATTTATTATAAATGTGACAGCAAATAGGTTGCTAGAGGGCAGAAGAAAAAGACTTAATCAAGTGGTGCTTTGAATTGTGAAAGGCATGACAAGAGGCAAGACAGCTTGGTTTAGGGCTTTTTTTGTACCCGTGGCTTTCCTGATAAGCATGATGTTGGCCAGAATATTGCATGAGCACCAGATGTAAGAGGTGGAATTCATGCATGACTTCTGCACCTAAGTTTAGGTCTCTAAAATGTAGTGTTTATGTGGGAGGCAGTTTTAAGTTCTCACTGTAGTTCATGAAAATCCTGTCAAGGGAGGCAATGGATCCTGGAAAGGAAGTTATCTTACCCTGAAGTAGACATCTGTATTTGATCATTTAAAATACAAAGCTTAAAACAGGATAACAAATGGAAGACAAGCATTTGCCAGACCTGTTGGTCTGCCAGCAACTCGTGTTCTCTTCCTGTTCCTTTGTAAAGCTAGATGTTAAACTATTATAAATATGTCTGAAGATTTACAGAATATCTGTGAGCTTTTGCTGCCCTCTCAGTTACATGATTTGCTAAACCATGTGGAGTTTCTTATTTCAATGTTCTTAGCTCTTCTGTGGTGGCACTGTCATCCCCTTCGAAGGAGAGGTCATTGAGTGTTTTATTGATTTGTCTTGTACCCTGGGAAAGTGCCGAGAACATTGTAAGCTGTTCGCTTTTAGTTGTGCATTTGTGGCAAGCTTCGGAGATGTACAAAGATGATGTAAATCTTAGGCACACTTCTCTGTCTGATAACAGTCTTTTATATAAAATTGAAATAGTTATTGCCACAAGATGTACTTCAGATCTAGAGACAAATACATGCTTTTGCATGCTACGAGGAAACGATTCCCTCTCAAGTAGAGGAGCATTTCCCTTGTATTTTTAAGACTATAGGGAAGGCTCTTCTAAACTGAAGATTTTTGTAGCTGCTGTGGTCATAGCCTCGTTCTGAATTTTTTGATATTCAAAGAGTCTAAGAGTCTTGTTAACTGTTATCCCTGCTTGCGCACCTGCACCCTAGTTTAACTTTAAAATGCAACAAGCATCTGTTATAAACACTGTGTTTTTAATGTGAAAGCCGAGTAAGGCAGGATTAGCTCTTCCACAGAGTAATAGCCTTTCACTAAAACTGTTGTTATAAATACAAAATGCTTCTTGTTCTTTTGGCCTAAGCTTTCTTGTTCCTGAAGTGTGCATGCTATTTCCCAAAAGCCATAAAATAACTTTCAAACATATGCAGATGGATATTTCTTTGTGTAGTTTAATTGTCAGGGCTTACTGGGGAGAAAACAAAGACAATCTGCTGTATCACCTTGAAAGGCTACAATGTGTTAGGCTTCATAATTCTGTTTTAGAATACATAAGCATCCTTAAATGAAAGAAAAAATACCTCAAAATCATGTAAGAGTATTTATTTTTTTTTAAATAAAATTAGTCACTCAGACTGTAAGTATTGTATGAATAAACAATGGATTTGTACACTGTTAGTGAAAAGTAAGATTTCTGTAAGCAGCTTACTGACAATCCTGTTGTAGGAAGAATCTATCTTTTTGTTTTTGGAATTTTGAGAATTAATTTTATTCTAGCATGGGGTTAGTTCTGTAAGAATATAACTTTTATTTTTTTTCCTTTTTGAAGAACACAGTTCTATTCAATCCACAAGATGGCATTTGATATAAATTGTATTTGGGATCTAAAAAAGAAAGAGCTGAAACACTTCTGACAATTTTTCTGTATTGACTTCACAGCTATTAGAAAAGCCCAACCTATGAGAAACTCAAATAGCACTCACTTTTTAGGAATTACAAGCTGCCCTGACTTCAAAATTTGTAAAAAGAGTATAGATAGTGATTTTTCTGTTTTTTTCTCCATTCTGAGTGTGTGTGTGTGTAATGAAAACTGAAATAGGAGAGTTAAGATATTCCTTGAACGCCAATAATTTAATGTGTGTATGACATTGAAATTGAATGTATGCAAGTTTCAAGAGAGTAATTGTGGTAGTTGGTAAAAACTAATTATTTTTACTGGATTCTGTAAACTATTTGGTATTTGAAATACGCTTTTTAGAACTGAAATATTGTGGAAATCAGTTTCTCCTGCCCCTTTACAATGTAGGAATGTGTTGCCTTCAGACACAGCCTTCAGGCTAGGTAGGCTAACGACTTTTTTTTCCCCTTGTTCAGAGCATGTTGGTGGTAACAGTGGTGCATTTCTTTAAATTTCAGGCTGTTCTTGAGCACCTTCACTCTAGCAGTTTCAGCTGGTGCAGTCCTGCTTCTACCTTTCTCAATAATCAGCAATGAGATCCTGCTTTCTTTTCCACAAAACTACTATATTCAGTGGTTAAATGGCTCGCTAATTCATGGTTAGTACTCAGCATAATGTAATTAAAATGGATGTCTTCATTACACGTGCAAAAATATGTTCTTATTTTCAAACTAATAACTCTGTTTTAACCTAAGATGCTAATTGAGTTTTTAACATGTTATTAGCTGGTTTTGCTGCTGCGTGATTTATCACAAAAGTCTGTCTTAACTGTTCTGTTGTGTGTTGGGTGTTTTTTTTTTTTTTAAGAATTATGCAGACTTCATGGGATTAACCAAATTCACTGTTATAAATGTTAGCGTAGAGTAAAAGCTACTAGAAGCTAACTTAAAAACACACTGTCGAAACTTCTTCATGTGTTAAAGTGAGATTCATAAGGCTGTCTTTATCATGATACATGTAAATTTATTCTCAAAATAAGAATTTGTTTCATGAAACTTGCTTGCTATGAGCAGTCGGGATTGGGTAGTTAAACTGCTAATGATGTAGTTGTAAATAAGGAAAAGAATAGAATATGAAGGAAATCTTTCAAGGAAAAGATGCAAGAAAAGGATATCACTCATACTTTCTGCGGTGATGCCTTGATGTCTGGCAGTGAGTTTTGCATGCATTCCAATGTTGGTTGACTATGATATGTACAATTTATACTAATATTTGAAAATAATTTGGATACTTCCATGTGTCTAAGGGAAATAACTGATGGAGACAGGACACACTTCAGTAGATTTGGCTTGAGAAGGGAGATAGTACCTCTGCTATAAAACAATTTAATCTGGAACAAATAATTTACAAGCTAATAGTGCTGTCCTTCTGTTCTTGTGAAGAGAGAATAATTAGACTTGGGAGGATTTTTCTCTGAAAAGTGTACACTGTTTGCTAAATATTTAGTAATACAGAGAACTAATGAATTTCATGGTCCCTAACTTGCAAGAGTGTGGTGTTTGGTAGTTTTTAAATTTGTTTTAAACAAATGTGGATAGGTGAAGACAGGAAGTAATGCATATTGTCTGTCATCTTTCTGAAACTGGTTGAGTGTTTTTTGTGCTATCTGGATGGTAAAATTTTTTTTTAAACCCATAAATAAGGAAGCGTTGACTGGAGGTGGGACCCTGACCAGTGATAGAGTAGTTTTAATAGCTCAGAAGTGTGAAAAAAGAAAACAGTAGAATAAAGACATTAGATTTTGAGAGAGTAGACTGTCCTCTTCAGTAAATGTGTATATGGCACCTCACTGGGCAATATCCTGAAGGCAAAGGATGCCAGGAGAGGTGTTTACTTTCAAGGATAACCTTCAAGCATGGTGTGTACCTTGGAGTGCAAGAAAATGAGGAGGTGTAGTAGGAGATTGACTTGGCTTAACAAGGAACATGAGCTCAAAACCAAAAAGAAGGTGTACAGAAGGTAAAGTAGGGATGAACTGCCCAGGAGGCGTGTTGAAATACCAGCTGGATTAATACCCTGGTGTGAAATTAGGGGAGCCAGGGCACAGCTGGATTTGTGGCTGGTGAGGGGGTTTATATAGAGCCAGCTTCTTCTCTGGTATGTCCAGTGAGAGGCAAGAAGCAATGTTTGCAAGACACAAAGCAACAGCTCTTCACAGCAGGGATGGTGGAACACTAGAAAAGGTTGTCCAGAGAGATCTAAATCCTTGGAAGTTTTTAAAGCTCACCTGGCTAAACCTCGAAGCAGCCTGATTGCACCTGCTGTTCAGCTGTTTTAAGCAGCAGATCAGACTACATGACTACAGAGGTTCTTTCTAGTTGAGTTACTCCCTGATCTGCTTTGTCATACATCATGAGGGATTGATAATTTGGTATGAGACACACCATCTCCTACATTGGAAAAAAACCAACCCAGTGAGTTCTCATTTTTCCACAAGGATGTGGCTGCTCAGATTTATATTCTTTACTCCCAAATATGAAAAGAACCATTTATGGAAAATAAACCTTCCTTCTGTGTCTGAATTGACTTTGAAAAAACAACAATCAAATATGTTTAGAGGGAGAAAATTCTCATAATAACTGAAGAAATTTTCATTCTGTCAGTTGCTACAGCATGTGAGAAAACTTGGGTTAATTAGGAATTTGCTGGTAAAAGTAGCTGTTGCATAGGAAGGCCTTCGGATTTCCCAGTGACCATCGTATTTTGATTTTAATGGGACAGTCTTTTGAAAGTGCCACTTTATACATGCACAGTATCACTTATATTTCCTAAGTCCAATAACAATGGGTAGCAAAGAAGTAAATTCAGCATCTTGTTTCCAAGTTTGACTCAGTACTGCAAAGCTTGTGCTAGGGGTAGACATAAATGAACTAAACCAAGATTCACCAGAATTGGTGTGAAGACTTAAGAAACATCAGTGGATTTTGGATACGGCGACAGGTTTCTGCTACTGCAGCTTGACAAAAATTAGTGTGCCTTATTTCAAAAAGCCTTACCTTAGGGAAGGGCTCCCTCATGTGGTGTTCACTGGGTTTGCACTATAGCACTGCTCTGCTCTGTAAAAAGCCCGTTCCGTGTAGTGGCAATACCTTTTTGAAGTTATTTATGAAATATCTGCTCAAATTTTGATAGCTAATAGTTCTATCACAAGCAGTCAAGTCCAGAAAATATTAATGTCTCCATACTACTGTCTAGCATAGGCTTCATGTACGGTTTGCATACTGCTTTGTAAATGTTATCAAATGGGAACATTTGTGTTGCTTTATACCACTTCAGTTTTGCCAGATTTATCAATTACAGATGTAGTCTGAGGTACCTGAAGGTAGTATTAAGGGTTTTTATATTGTAGACTGCTGCATTAGTTGTGGCATGTAGAATAATAGAAAAGATATGCCTCTAATTTTTTGGAACTAGGCAGAAAGCCCATATCCGTGTCCAGAACAAACACCCTCATATAATGTATGTTGAACTAAACCCAGTTCTTCTGACAGCTGGATGTTCACTTATGCTGTTGTCGGATACAACCACCAGGTGGGGGTAAAATGCAACGAAACTGCCAGGAGTAGAAAACCTCCAAATTGCTGAGGGTCGGATCTGTTTGCCAAAGACTGATTGTTAATTTTTATGTTTTATTAACTTGTTTTATGGGGGATATTCTTAGGTCGCTGCAAATGCAGGAAAAAAAAAAAAAGTAAAATATTCCAATAAGCTGCTTAAAGCTTTTATATATGTTGATGTCTTCAAGTCTCTCTCACGTAATTTTATGATGCAGTCAGTGTAGTGTGAAATAATTTTCTGGGTCCATTTTAATTTGACTTCTGAAATGTCAAATTAGGATAAGACACACGTCAGGGGAGGAAGAGAGCCCTGTGTGTTCCTTACTTTGAAGAAAGTATATGTGTATCAGGAGGAGTATAGCACTGTCCTTACCTCTCATACTTTGTGTGTATATTTTTGCCCTGTAATTTAATATTCTGTGAATGTGGTTCCTATCAGCTGCTAATGTGTAAATTTCTGGATTTCTTTAAAAAGCACTGCAGATGTGCACCACTCTCCCCTCTGTTAAAATACTCTGCACAAACCATGCAGCTCCTAAGCACTGTTTTACGTTGTAGATCTGCATGTGATAACAGCTGCTGAAATTAGGACAATCAGGTATTCGGCTTTGTGTTAGGTAGCTGAATGCACTGTTTATCCTCAGAGAAAACAGCTGAAATGAGACCCTTACCCCATCTCATAGTATTTCTAATCTGACTCTTTTTCTGGGAAGGAGACACCCGAAAACCAAATCAAGCCAGCAACCAAAACCAAAGCCAGACTATTTGAGTTAGTGTACTCCTAGTACGGGCTGTTAATGACATTCTTGCTGATGTTGCTATGTGTGAATGTTTCTTGAATGGTAACTGGAGCTTCCTGGCTAAGCAAATTCAAAAGGAAAAATCCCCCTCTTTGTTAGCTGGAGTTTAGCTACCTTTAGGCAGTCTGTTTTCTTTAGCAACTGAGTATTATATTTCACGCATCTTTTAGAGTTTTCTTATTTTCTTTTCTTAAGCTTATTGGGCTAAATTTGGGTCCTGGTCCTATTAATTGCTGAATTAGATTTCTTACCCTCTCTGTCCTTCCTCCTCCCTCTGTTTTTGTTTCTTGTTGAAGTTTAAATAATTTCCTTTAAAGAAAAAGGAAATAATATGGTGAAAGCATAGGTGAAGGTAGCTACAAAATATTTTACATTTGGAACTAAACACAGGAATTTCTCTCAATGAATTCCCCAGACATTCAGTAAATGTCTCTTTCCATGCCTGTTCTTTCTAAAATGGATAATTTCAAAGAAGAAAATGAACAAGCCTATTCATGAGAAGAAAGAAATAAACAAAGCTGTTAGTTCAAATTTTCTTATCATGGGGGATGTTCTCTTTTGGATTTCAGGTGATACAATATAGTCTTGTGTAATTGTGGAAATGTGTGTGTTTTGGGAAAGGTGGCCTTGTTTTCTCAACTATAAAATAAAAGCTGTGTTTTCAGGATGCAGAACATGTGACACAAGTTGAATCTGTTAGCTGTTAAATTGCAGGTAAACTGCTGCTTTTAGAAGGAAGAAACACTGCATCCTGCACAACTTTTAATAGGATGATTGATGATGGGTTCATGTTTAGGCACCAGAAATTGTCTGTTCAGAAAGTGTTCATCTTAGATCTTAATAGAGCAGATATCCTTAATGGAGATCAGTTATCACTTCAGGTTATTTTATAAACCTTTTCCCTTCCTGCAGATGTCACATGTGTCTTACAGATGTCCTAATTTTAGTCATTCTAGATTTTTCACCTAGATCACAGAATGGCTGAGTTTAGAAGGGACCTCTGGAAATAATCTAGTCTGACTGCCCTGCTCACAGCAGGGTTAGAGAAGGCTGCTCAAGGCAGTGCCCATTTGGGTTCTGAATATGTTGAAATATGGAGATTACAAATCCTCTATGGGCAAGTTGTTGAAGTGTTTGACTGCACTCAGTGGAATAAGTTTGGGGTGTGTTTTGGTGTGGATTTTTTTTTTGTTTTTTTGGTTTTTTTTGTTTGTTTTCCCCCTTCCCTCCCCCTCTCCCCTCTAATGTTTCAGTAGGTTTTTCAGTTCATCGTATTGTCTCTCTCCATTCACTGGATACCACTGTGAGAAGTCCAACACTGGTTTCCTTTCCCCCTCTCTCATCAGATACTTACGTACCTTGTGTAAATCTCCCTGAGTCAAAGCTTTTCAAGGCTAACCAGTTCCAGCTTTCATAGCCTCTCCTTGAGTGACAGATGCCTCAACCCTTATTAATTTTCATGGTCATTTGTTGGCCTTGCTCCAGTATAGCCTGTCTTGTATGGAGGAGCCCACAGCTGGATGCAGTTCTCCAGGTTTGTGCTACTAGTGCTAGTAGCTCTGCTGCTGAACAGAGAGGAAGGACCACCTCCCTCAAGCTCCTGGTAACACTTCTAATGCAGCCTGGCATGCTGTTCGCATTTGCTGCAAGGGCGCGCTGCTGGCTTGTCTTCAAATCCTCTAAGGCCTTTCCTACAAGGCTGCTTTTGGGATGATTGGTCCCCAGTGTGCTGTCAGTCCATTTGTTCAGCTTGCTGAGGATCATCCGAGTGCAGGAACTGCTCCTCACCATCTTGTATCTTCAGCAAAATTGCTGAATATGCACCCTCTTCTGTCATCCAGGTTATGAGTGAAGATGTTAAACCCAGTATTGACCTGCTGGGATATACCACTGGTGACTGGCTTCCAGCCTGACTCTTTATTGCTGGTCATAACTGATTGATCCCAGAAACTCAGCCAACTTTCAGTCCAAATCACAGTTCACTTGCTTAGCCCATACTTTGTTAATTAGACTATGAGGGGATTAATGGGAGGTGATGTTTAAAGCTTTTGATCCACAAAATCCACTGATCTCGCCCACTAAACAGTTATCTCATCGTGGAAGGCTGCTGTTGGTGTTACCGTGATGGTGACATTTGTTTGTTGCTCATGTTAAAATCCGTGATTTGCTTGAGTTTCTCTTGGAAAAGCTGTGGAAGTGAGTACACTGAATTTTGGGAGATTCACTGATAGCAGTAGAATATCTTTGTCCTAAAAACTCTGTAAAGAGCTTTCAGTGGTATGTTGTGGAAGTAGTCCACCTGAGCTTGCAGCCTGTCTCACAAGATTTCATACATTTGCTGCTATTCTAGTTGGTGTCCAATTTTTGTCTCAAGATCATTATACAAAGACATGAGTGTTTTTCAGACCTGTGAATAACTCTGTATCATAAAAACCATTTTGTGTTAGAATTGTATGTATACTACATTGTTTTATGTAAGGGGAGAAATGGGATATTTTTAACTTCTAAAGCTAAAAGTCTTACAAATTTTTTTCTTGTTTGTTTCAGGCTTATGGAATCTTGCCTCTCTTTTTTCGAATTTATGTTTGTTTGTATTGATGCCCTTTGCCTTTTTCTTCTTGGAATCAGAAGGATTTGCTGGCTTAAAAAAGGTAGGAAAATGCTGTTAAATACAAAGTGATTATGGTACACATGCTATTTTTAGCTCTTGTTTCTCATGAAACTACAGATTTGGGAGAATTTGGTGCTGGAGTGCGTATGCTTATGTGAATGCATATATATGAGTGAATGCTTTTGCATAAGCAGGTGAAATGAGTATTTGGTGTGTGGCTGTGAGTAAGCTTAGGGGAAAAATGAAGGTCCTTGAAAAGCCATTTATACTGAGATCAAGGAAATGACTGAAATTGTTTCTTTAATAACAAAATAAACATTTTTTTTGAGAAATGATTCTGTTGGGGTGCTAAATGGAGAGAAGGTTCAATAAATACACTAGAAATAAAATAGCAAGAGAAAGCAATACAGGCTTCTTGCTAATGAGAAGGGTGATTAAGTAACAGGTGACCTAGAGAAAACAAGCTTGACTTGTGAATTTTAAACATTAACAAACATCCCCCAAAAATTTCAGGTGTTGTAAGGATTAATAATAATATGTTAAGAAAACTGTCATAAATGGGTAGAGAATAACTGAAAACCTTAAACCTAGTTGTATGTATTATACACATACATATGAGAGGGCTGAGTACTTCAGCAAGGCGTGGAATTTGGCAAAGCACTTTCTGAACAGTAAGATGATAATTATATTAATATGTTAACTAAAGAAATATAATGAAAATTGCTATAATGGGAAGAACAGCAAAATGAATTTAAATCGTAAATATCAAGTAAACTGTCTGGAGGCCAATTGTAGCACATTTTCATTAATCTTTATGATCCAAATGATTACACTTCTGTTTTTTAATGATGGTGTGCTTGAGGGAATTCTGTGCTCTTTAGATGACAGTTATTAGAAAGCAAAGGGTCTTGAAAAGTGGTCTGAAATCAGGAAAATGAAACGCATTAAAGATTGATACAAAAGATGATGAGTCATTGGATCACACATAACAAACCAACAAGGGAATGATTGTAATGGGAAGGAAAACATAATTCCTGGTTGCACTGAAAGGAGTTGGCATTGAGGCAATGAAGTTGCCATTTTTGTTGTTGGGAGAACTGGGGAAAAACTCAGCTGAAGTACTGCATTCAGTTTGGGATTTTAAGGTTCATGTGGATATGTAGAGAGAAAACAGAGGACAACAACAACAAAGGTAGATACTTGGAGAGTACAGCATGAAGGAAAACATTAATTCAGAGAATGGGGGAAGAAAACCCAGATTTTACTCTATAGCTGAAGTTACTGAGAGGTTACATACTGACCAATACATCTGTGTCAGTGGACCTGTGGGACCCAGCCAAGATGGTGTGTCACTGCTGGGTTGGTGCAGCCATTTCTGAGCTGTTGATGCTACTGCAGTTTTATTTTGTATTGACCAAACTGTAGATGTGTATGTTACTTCAATTACAACTTTGGATGGCCAAGCTGGTAAGTTCACCTTCAAAGGAGTTTGGTCATGGGCTGCTATGTTTAACTCCATTTATCCATCTTGGCTGGAAAGCACTCTGCGTCTTCCATCACTTCAGGTATCCAGAGGACTAAGAGAACTTTTAGCAATTCATTTTGTCCTTTTAGTTTTTAGGTGGAGGTGGCTCCATTTTCCTTTTAACTCCAAGTATCTAGCCACAGCTAATGTGTATCTTTTATTCTAAAAAGAAATAAACTAACTGATTTTTAGTGGGGTTGGTCTCTGGCAGTCCAACCAAACCCAAGGATTTTCTCCATTGGTGTATCATGTACAGTATTGCTGGTATGTCCCCTTGACTTGTGGATTTCTGCTGGCTCCAACCAGCAGATGCATCATCTATCTCGGCTTCATTAAACTTGCACTTAACATAAAACTTCAGTTACAGTGCAACTTCTAAACTTATGATACTGTCAATAAACCCCTTTCAAGATAAATAGGATCACTATTACATATTTGCACTTAGAAGCATTTGTGACTCTAGATGAGATAGAACCATAATCTGTCTGCAGATGTTTTTCTTTTGTTACTTTGCTTTCTTCTGAATGTTTTTGGTATGTCCCAAAAGCCAGGTCTGATTCTTAGTTACAGATACTCAATGGCCTTTGTCCAGTGTCTGTTCTACCTGGCTGCTCTGTTTGAAAGTATCCAAAATGGATGAGGGCATACTGGATTGTTTTACTAGCTTTGAGTGAGCCCAAAGGCTACTGATGAAGATGTTGGAATTGTAGTCTATGTAACATGAACATGCTGTGTCTTTGGTCACTTTCCTTAGAAAGTAGCAAATGTAACTTCTGGGCTAAGTTGATAGTTAAAATTGAGTTTGCTGTTCTTTTCCAATTCTGACGCAGATAAATGATTCTACGTGCATGAAGTACTTTTTGTCTGTAATTTAAAGAAATACATCACATAATAGGGTGATTAGAATCTGGGAAAATTTATGGTTACTTGAACTTTGGATTACATGTAAGCTTTTCGGTTCTAGAATCTGTGAAGGGTACTTCCCATCTTTGTTTTCCTTAAGTTTTGACACATTGCTTATTTCTTTTCAGAGAAGACTTTGAGACCAAGATTACTGTGTAGAATTCTGGTACTTACACAGTATAATCAAACTCAAAATGGTTTGTAAAAGTTTGATTTTTTTATTTTGTTTTTTAAATTTTTTTTAATGTCATATTGTCTTTCGTCACCTCAGCGTAATGGGCCAAAGAGATTCAACATCATTCAGATACTACTGTTAACTGGCAAAATTGGATTTTAGTGATCTCAGTTTAAAAGAACATTGCATACATTTGGCAAAACTTCTGTCCGTAAAGAGAAGAATGATCTACTGTACATGTGAAGACATTCATTAAGGAGGCTTGGCACAGGGTATTTAATCTTTAATCTCTCAGTTAGGAATTGGATGCAAGGAGTAGGTAAAACAATTGATTCTAGATACTCAGCTCACTTCAAAATTTGGGTAAAAGGACTGTTCCTGTGGAAGCTTTTATGCATGTCATCTTGAACTTGTCATAGAATTACCTTCATTAAAATGAATAAATAGGTCACTTGAGATGTAGGTGTGCAGAGTCAGGTTGTGTATTTGAAGGTGTTAAAGTAAGAATTGCTTGTTCAATTTTAATAGAAGTTCTGAAAATGATTAAAGGAAGTTCACTTCTGAAATTATGTTTGGGGTTTCTTGTTTCATTTTTTTAACAGATTTTTGTTCAGCTTATATTGCAGCAGTAGTCTTAGTCATTATCACATATGGGCCTATTGTGCAAAGTATTTCGCTGAGTGTTTATCATAGGTTATGCTATAGAAGTTGATTTTATGTATTCACTGTAATGTGACCATTTGGGGGGTTATGATATTTCATCTAGCTCATAGGTTACTATTACAAGCTTTGTGTCTTCTCTTTCCATGTTCTTTTAAGGAAGTATTGCCCCTTCACTATTTTAAATTTCATGAATTGGAATGGATTTGATTAACCGTTTTCCAGTTTACTATGGCTTATTTTCTTGGCTGCTGGTTTACTTTCTAAATGGCACATGGCCCCTCTTACAGACTGTTTTGATTCCCCAGGGTAGCAGCTTAAAATGACCAATGACTTGAATATTGTGCAGAGGAGAGAAATATGGAAATTAGGCACTTGCCGTAGAGTGATATAGTGTTTTACCAAAAATCGAACTGGTTCTCTGCCTAGTTTTTAATGAAAAGCACTGTGTTAATTCCAGAAGGGCATATTGGGTCTAAGGGGGTTGACCATGCCCTCTTAAAGAGCTCTTCTTTGTTACAGTTAAGTCTGCCATTGCGATGTCGCAAAAGCGACACTGGAGGTGTATAATACATTTATGTATATCTTTATGTAAATATGTGTATGTGCTATGCATGCATTTATGCACACACTTATTTTCAGGCACACATGTGAATTGGGTTTTTCAAGACTACTGAAGTAGTTTGACGTCACTGTGATGTATTTCACCTTACCTGATCTTGTTAACTGAGCTATTGAAGTACCTGAAGTAACTTTAATCTTCTGCATCAGTGTTAAAAACTTTGTTTTTATATTCTGCTTGTCTTCTTTTGTAGAGCCTGAGCATAAAGTTATATTACTTATTTAGATACTCTTTCAGGTTTTTGCCACTGGCCTGCTCAAATTCTGTAGTACAATTATGAAACAAAGGTGCCAACCATGTTTCTTAATGTCAGAATCAGTTTCATTCTTTACCATCCTCCCCAAAAAGGGAAACTGTGTATTTGCAGCTGAGCATCTGTAGTTCAGAATGCTGATATTTTCATGTCTCATAACTGCACAGAAAATTACATGTGTGCTGCTGGGTGAAGGAGGCAAGCATTTTTGAAGAGATAATTGCTGTGCCTTTTCCTGACCTTTAAAATACGCTTTCTCTTGATGTAACTTTAACTGAAATTTGTATTTATTTGAAGTTGACAAAGATGAAGATGTTTAGGAGTAATTTCCTTGTAAGAAAATGCAAACAGTGCAATTTACTGTCGTAAGAAACTGGAATAACTGGGTATTGCATAATCACGAGTGTAGAGTTTAAAAAAGGCTTTATGAAGTATTTTACCTTAATACTGATCTTTGAACTTGAAGTCATGGCATAAACTTTAACGTGAGCGACAGCAACATCCTGACCAATTATCCAAATTATCCAGACATCCCAAAATGTTCAGAACACAACACACAGAGTCTGGATTAAGAGGTTAACTCCTGGAACATCAAAAGAAGTGCATGATAATAAAAACAAATAGTACAAAAATTTGAGGTAACTTCCTTGCTTAATTAATTAGGTAAACCAGGTGGAAGCGAAGAGGCCAGAGCTGGTGCTCAGAATGTCTATAAAGCTGAACAACATGACAGCACAATGGAGGAGGAACAAAGATTTTTTTAATATACTTCTATCCTGTGTCACAGTTTGAAATTGTCCTGGTTTATGTCCCTTTTGGCAAACTTACATAAAAGTGACCCTGTACTGTATTTTATGACCAGATGACTTTTTTTTTTCCCAGTGGCTAATTTGTATCAGACC